TGCTGGATGATCGCTTCGGTTGTACAACGAAATGCAAAGCTGACGGGTTTTAGAGTTGATCCGTTTTGCTAGACGCAGGACTTCAGCACCATCAAGACTAGCCTTGAGTAAGTCACTGGCACCAACATTGTCCAAACTAAAACGGCCATTGGATCGGACCAAAATGCAAACCAGAAAGAAACCAATGTTTTGGTGGAAGTTTTAAAGGAGTAGTGTCTTACTATTAATGCTTAGTTATGCTTATTTTTTCCATAAACTTTGAATAATTTTCTTTTATTCTCAACTAATAATCTTTTTATGTAGGATAAATTATCTCAGTTTGATATGTGATATCATCTCTTTTTATTATTCATTTCTTTTGTAGCGTGAAAACAGAAGTTACGTTAACAACTCATGAGTGGTAACATGTGGAAAATAAACACGCCCAACAGAAGTAGCATTGACTTTTTAAATATCAGTCAGATTCAGTCGTGATAGAGGTTTGTACTGAGGGTCCTTGGTTCAAGCCTAGAACTTGAAAGCATCACACAAATTACTTCTGAACGATGTACTTCACAAGAAGTGGTTATTTAACTGAGCTAATGTGCTATCTTCCAGCTACATTCCAGAGTCCAAAAATAGTACAACGCAGGATAGTCATATTCAGGTTAGCCTTCCGAAGTTTCTAATCAGGATTCCTAAACCTCCCCCAAGCGAGTTAGAATATATATATATATTTACCACCGGCTTGAAAACAAGCATGGTGCCAACGCAACAACAATGACAGTGAAGGGGATAGGTGGATTAGGATACAGAACATGGGGAAAAGTGAGTGAGACAGTTAAACATGGAAAATACAAGATAACAGAATTTTTTTTTGTGTGTTTCACCTAAAGCTCACCCAATATGATTTCACTTTATCAGCTCAAGGAAATCACCTCCGCACTAGATGTTTATACCACATTCGTGGGTTGATCTGGGAGATATCGGCAAGGTCTTTCTTTGAACGAGAAAGGTGACGATCGGCCTCTGAGGAGGTAGGGTCTTTTTACCACCCCAGTGTTTCCAGGTAGAATAACGTTTGGTATAAGGTGATATAATCAAAAACGAACAAAAAGCTCGAANAACATAAGACTGTTTCATAGTTGTTTTCCCTCGGAAGGTGTGTATATTCCTCCGAAAAGTAAATCTCAACATTATTTGCATTTATGTTTTCCCTGTCAGTTGTGTGACTTCTTACCCACTGTTATCTCTTTTCCACATCAGTCGGAAAAATCCAGTTCTTTCAAATGCTGCACTTTTGGAGCGTCTCGTCTTCCGCAACGTCACTTGGCTACTGGAGCATTTAACGGTCGCATGGCTATTTGGGATTTGGGATCTGGAGGCCATTTGGATGTTCCAGTCTATGGAGTTCAAGCCCATTCAGAAATCGTTAACACGATCGATGCTGTCGGTGGTTTGGGAATCGGGGAGGGGGCCCCAGAAATTGCCACCGGTAGTCGTGACGGTACTGTGAAGGTATGGGATCCGAGACAGGCTAAAATCCCCGTTGCGACCATGGAACCGGGACCCACAGAGGGTACTGACCTTCCTTCCTCCATTTCCAATAATCGCCGAGATTGTTGGACCGTTGCGTTTGGTCATGCATACAATTGCCAGGATCGATGTTTGGCCGCTGGTTATGATAACGGGGATGTCAAATTGTTTGATTTGCGCGCGATGAAAGTTCGATGGGAAACAAATGTAAAGAACGGAGTTTGTTCTTTACAGTTTGACCGAAAAGACATCGAAATGAACAAGCTAGTGGCAACCACTTTAGAAGGAAAAATCCACGTGTGGGATATGCGTACACAGCACCCAAAAAAGGGCTTCGCTTCTTTAACTGAGAAAGACCAGGGCGCAACGATCTGGCAAGTGCGACATTTGCCACAGCAGCGTGACGTATTCATGACTGCCGGTGGGAACGGATCTCTTTGCCTGTGGCAGTATCATTATCCAGCAAAACGTCGACGAACGGTTCGTGAAGCCGGTCCGGAAGGACGAGGAGATATTGAAGTAGCTCAAGGCGTGATTGGCACACTTTCACAACTACAAAATGTTGTTCTGTCCAATCAGCCGGTGAACAGTTTGGATTGGTGCGCGGACAAACTGGGTTTGGCTGTCTGTGTCTCATTCGACCAAACCTTGCGATTGTTGATTGTCACTAAGCTCAATAAATTGTGAACGGTGATGAGCTTTGTCACTTTGATTTGAAGATTGTTCAATTTGTTGTTTAAATCAGAGGTCGGTGACTTGATTTAAAATGGACATATCCTATGGTATTAAATATGAATTGAGATACTTCTGAAGATAAGCCTCAAAACAAAAAATGACCCGCAATGGGTCACTTCCGATTTACTAGCAAGAAAACTTTGTTGTGAGCTATCTTCTGCACTGGCGCGAATCAGCAGAATGAAAGAACACAAATGTCACCACGGGAAAATAGATCGATGCGTATTCGTGCGACCCAATGGCATCAAACAAAGAGCTGATTTGGCATGAAATAAAGCCACTGTCCCGTCAGAACTGAGTGAATTTGCCTAAGAAAACTACAGTTGATTCCGTACCTAACCACTGAGTGTTTCCCTGGTCCCACTAGGATTTAATCATCGGTCCTAAAACGAGAGTCAGACCGAGAATAGATTCCCTATGAGGTGGTTTCGGAATAGAATGTGTTTTATTTCTTGACCATTTTGGTAAATGTGCCGCGAAAGTTCTACTTAAGAACTAACAAGAAGTTGACACAATATCTGCCTGTGTATATTCTGTACCTTTGATTTAGGGTAAATCTCTCAATCATTTCCTTATTAGTTAAATGGAAACCCGAAGAACTAGGCAAGGAAGTTCGTGTGTGTTTGATTTTAACTGTTCACACCTCAGGCTTCACTTTTACGCACAATCCTCTGTTCGTCTAATCTACCATACAATAAGAGGGGAATAATGAGCTTGCGTTTCGCTCTTGTTAGATAGAACTCATCAGTACCGCATATCCACCAACCTGTCTGGGTTTTTAATTATGAATACTTCGTATGGAATACGTACTTAACCACTGTTCCAACCAAATTCGACTGGGGCTGACTAGAATCACTGATGCATGCTTGTCTCCAATGACAGGCAGTTAATATGGCCCTACATGTATGAAAGGATACCATCTGTTAACTTGAATCAAGAGCTTCTCATCAAATTAGGTCTTCCATGAATGATGGGTAGTGTTTCTGTAAACAAACGTAGCATAAAAATGGAGAGTTTGAGGTTCTTTCCATGCGCAATCTGTTTTTGTCCTTTAGCTCCAGCAAAAAACCTGATGATGATTGTGATCCGCAATTGCACATAAGCAGATAGCGAGCTCATGAAATCCGGTGAAAACTTGGTAATTTTCAATAGTTTTGACAATGGATATGAAGGTTCTTTGGTGTTTTTGTGTCCAAGGTCTGGCACAAATTTCTTGGGGTAGAATTTCAAACTTGATTCTCATCATCGTAATGGATTGTTTAGGGAAAGAGTACATCGTTTCGTCATTCAATCTGATCTTTACACATACGACCTATCCTTAGACTAAATCGGAATAGGATCAGCTACAATCCAATGAATGATACACGTACTAAAGTCGTGTGTTTCCCACTTGCACGGACAAGCATCGCACGGGGCGTTTCAAAAACAGTTCTGGCTACCATCACTTTATCTGTTCGCGGTTGAAGAAGCAGAGACTGTAAAATCAGCAAAAGTGACAAAATCTGAACAGCGCAACCCACAGGACAAGCGTGCGCGAATTTTGAGTAGTGTGTGTGTGTGTTTGTATGGGAGGGGGAGTGCAAGTGAGACGGCGCCAAGTAAATGTTTCGTACAAAATAAATAAGAGTATTCGCAGCAGTCTCGGTAGTGAGAATAATAATAATAACATTGAGAGTATGAGACCAAGGGGGAGGGAAAGCAGGAATAATGGCCAAGAAAGACAGCGGAGCATGTTGTCCAAATAAAGCGCGACTGAACCGTCAAGAAGTATGAGAGGCATTAAACGAGCGATGGCATCCGATTCGACCACGATGGCCGGCGGTAGCGATTGATTTGAATCGTTCACATTCGCGTATCACGGATGAGGAGCCACGTTCAGTTCGCGCAGTTGACGAATCACGTCGTCCAATTTCTTTCGTCGACCGCGTTCTTCTTTTCGCATGGCGCTGAGAAACCCGGCACGTTTCTTTTCTGTGTCACGTACCCGTTCCAACAGTTTGATCGCCACACTGGGTTGAACACGATCGTAGGGATTACCTGTGGCGAACAAGACGGTCGAGGATACGGATGATAAAGATTCACGTAGGGCGTAGTCATGGGTTGATGAAGAACGAATTCAATAGATTGAACGGACAAGAAAGCACTTAGGATGCACATAATTCGCACAGATCATCACACAAGTTACGACTTGCATAGGCAAGAGAGAGGGAGATGATGAGTTGCAACTCACCGGTTGATTTATTTCGCGACTCAAAGTACAAATTCCAGTCGTCTCGGAGGAACAGATCCAGTAGCTGACGCAAATCAGCAAATATCAACGACAGCATATTCCGATCGAGACCGGGGACTGGTTGGGTACGTACGAATGTCTCGCATTGAGCCAAGTCTTTGCTAATTTGCATAATACATAGCTCAGATAATTCAAGGACCTGTACACAAATATGAGGAGATGAAAGATTTTAATCAATAAATAAGGTTAGTAATGATTTTGTATTATATCTTGTCGCATACGTACAGAACGAATAGATGATAAATGAAATAACAATACCTGTGTTCCACACGCAGCTGGACAGAGTCGAGATTATGAAACCAATCTTGGGGAACTGTTGTTGTTGTTAATACACCCATTAACAATGCACTCTAGGGCAGAGATTCTGGTAGCTATTCTTTGACTACCGATTTAGATAAAGGAAAAATGGGAATATTGGAAGTCATGTCATTTTAAAGAAAAGATTGCGAAAAAATCGAGTAGATGCATGAGCGCTACTTCCGGAATATACCAGGGTGGTTAGTCCGTGATAAGATGAAACAGTGTGGCAATTTGTATTCGCAACAAATGAGCAGTCAGATGTTTGTCGAAGAGTGTGAAACTGACTGACATAAGATAGTTACAACGAGCGGGGCAATTTTACACGTGATCTAAGAAGGATCTATCTGCAGATGGCAACTAAACCACAATAGGGAAGTGTTAATTCGGTCAAGTTACTTAAACCTATCGAAAAAAGTTAGGAGTATAATCATGTGCCAAAGGCCATCTATTGCTCATGATAAACATAGTCGCGATCTAAAGGGATAGCTCTTTCTCTGTGTGCATTGGGAAACGGCATGTTAGAGCCTCCCGAAACTGCAGCCATTCATGGCTTACACACTGTAATGCATTTTAACCAACATTTTCAATTGCCGTTGCGCCGCAAATTACTCTCCGTTTATGAAACTCTTGGTTTAAACGAACTCTTACGTTGTGTTCCCGATACATCCATCCATTTTTATTGGCTACTTTTTAAAAATGGAAAATTAACGGCTGCCAGCAAATCCTAGGGTTATCCATTAGTACAACCTCT